TTGTGCTATATTTGCAAGAATATCTAAATGTTAGAGGCAGGATTGATCAGATTAGCTAAGACTCCCATTTAGCCAAAGGCTCATCCAACCCTATGGGTCCTTTGGATGCATCCAACCTGCTCCAATCCACCCAACACTCTCCCCTTTTGGACCTACTGACACCATATTTCCAGCATAGGTAGGGGCAAGGCTGAAGAAAATGCAACAGCAGGGATGAGGGAGAATCTAACATCAAATCCACCTCTCCAAGGTCGGAGCTCTCTCTTTACTCTTGGAGAAGGGAGGCACAATGCACTCTTTTGTCCTTGGGATCCCACCAAGAGGACCGCAGGGTTAGAAGGCCATAGGTAGAAAATCAAACTGCCTAGGAGTAGGGAAGCAATAGCCAATCATCTGTATCACAACAGAAACCGTTGTCCAATTAAATATAAAAAAGGCAATCTTTTGCCATTTCTTTTGTAATTTCTTAATGCAGTTAAAACACACAAAAAGGCTATTGTTTTCAGAATTCGTTTCCCAGCCTTTAGTCTCTCTGCAGATGACACTCGGGCTCTGTCTCGTTGGGGAATTCACATCAAACTCTGGTTCATAATTTATGTAATGACATATACTTGGACACTGATTAGCTACCTTATCAGCCCTGTAATAAAAGGAAGCATAACCCCTAGTTTATCATTCATTTATCTGAAGTCATTTTGAATAATATCACAAGATTGTAATGTAATCATTATGCTGTACAGCATGTGTGGGCCAGTACTCTACACTGTCAGTGTCAGAGGACTGTCATAGTTCATACTACTTAATTTGCTCACTTCTTACACGTTTATGAAATTGGAGTCAACAGTCTAGTGTAGCAGTAATGTTCTGGATTAGGCATTTATACAAATTGTTAATAAGATGTTCATGGCAAGTAAAAGAAGAGGAAAGAGAAAATGAAAGAATCGTCTTTGTGGATGAACACAGGGAAAGGCTGTGACCTTGTAACAATGAATTGACTGGATTTTCTTTCAATTTTTCCCCCATAATCAAAATTACCCAGAGACTTTGTTGCCACTTTGCATAGTTCTTGCCCAGTATTTGATCCAATTAGGAAAATTCATTCTTTAATATATTTGAGTTGGTTTTTCTACAATAGCTTGTTCTAACAAAAGTAAATGGGAAGACTGCTATTTGAACTCCTGAGACAAAGAGATAAAATTAGCAAATTTATTTACTCTGAGATTCGTGAAGTGAAACTGGGGTGCTCCAGTTTTGTTAATGTTCCGCCATCCCTGTTCTTCAGAAAAAGCATGCAAATGCCAGTAGTACCATAATTGCAACATGCATAACCGCGGTTTTCAGAATCATGTCCTTAACTACCAGATGAGAATGGACATTACTCTTCTGAATTAGACTAGCATTCCCTTATCACACTTAATAGAAATAGCAAGTCATTAATAGTGTCATTAATGCACTGGTGGCAAGATATGCTACTACGGAAGACCAAAAGGAATTAGGAACAGGGCAGAGTTGCACCCCTTTGTTCTGGGTAGAAGATGGTGGCAATAATCTTCACAATCTACCCTATATTTCTACACATTTTCCTCCTGTGGAGTGATGGGAGCAAAAGAAATATGCTTTAGGATGCACAGAGTGCATAAATATGACACCGATACCCACAAAATATAGTTGAATATGAGTAGACACCCAAGTCTACCATGACTTCAGAACATTCAAACAAGAGCCAGAAGCCATGGATTTGAAGGTTAGTGGTTGGTGTGCCCAAAGCATTAAGCACAGAAGGAAATAGGGCTATGTAATATAAGCCCCTGTAACTGGCAAGCAAAATTAAACCTTCAAGTTTGATATAAATGCAAGGAGCCCACACTTCTCCTCTTTCCCTAATCTGCAGAAGTACAACATTGTTCTCAGAAGTTCCAACTCAATTACTGTCCTCTGGGCCCCTGAACAAGAGAACACACTATTCAGGTCTAGATTTAGATATAGCTGCCTTTTAACAGCCCTAAACTGAGCAACTGGCTGACAATCCTGCCCATTCTACAGTGGTACCTCAGGTTACATACGCTTCAGGTTACATATGCTTCAGGTTACAGCCTCCGCTAACCCAGAAATAGTGCTTCAGGTTAAGAACTCTGCTTCAGGATGAGAACAGAAATCGGGCTCCAGCAGCGTGGCAGCAGCAGGAGGCCCCATTAGCTAATGAGAGCCAGCATAGTGTAGTGGTTAAGAGTGGTAGACTCGTAATCTGGTGAACCGGGTTCGCGTCTCCGCTCCTCCACATGCATGTGATGGCCTGGGAATCCGATTCAGAGGCTGAACCGGAGGAATCCCAGCCTGCACAGGAGTCCCCGCCTCCAGGGCCGGCTGAACTGGGGCAGGGCCTTGATTCTGAAGCGCCTGCACCTGTGCCGGATCCTCAGGAGCAGGCACCAGGTGAATCCACTCTGGCTCCGGAGGTGGTTGAGGACTCAGTGCCTACAGGTGAGTCTCCCCCTGGATCCAGTAACCCTTCAGCCTCTCCTGAACTGCAGAGGCTCAGGGAAGAGGCGAAGGGAACTGGTTTCTCCCAGGAGGAGTGCTCGCCTTAAGGCCAGGAGAGGCGGGTCTCCTGGGGGCCGGGACCGCCCCTGGCCTCAGAGAAGATAAAGGCCAGTCAGCCCGGTCCCAGGTTGCGGGAGCAACGTCGTTGAGTACCTGCTCTTGCCCGGACCCAGACCTGACCTTCCAGTGATCCTGTCCCTGCCCGGCTTCCTGCTTCGGACCTTGCCTCTCTCCTTGTGAACTGTTTCCAGACCAGTGACCCAGGACCAGACTTTGACTACGCCAACGGTAACCTTCCCCCTGGGACCAGCACAATGCAGCTGCTAGGTGACCTTGGGATAGTCACACTTCTTTGAAGTCTCTCAGCCTCACTCAACTCACAGAGTGTTTGTTGTGGGGGAGGAAGGGAAAGGAGATTGTTAGCCGCTTTGAGACTCCTTAAGGGGAGTCCAAACTCTTCTTTTTCTTTTTCTTCTTCTTCTTCTTCTTAAAGTGGTGCTTCAGGTTAAGAACAGTTTCAGGTTAAGTACAGACCTCCAGAACGAATTAAGTACTTAACCTGAGGTACCACTGTACTCTCATTTCATGGAAATTTTCTGAACCCCCTCGACCCTGCAAACAGCAGCAAATAAAGTGGAGCAGCATCTGAGAACCTCTCGTGTGATTATATCATGTCATGTGTTTTCTTTTCTTTTCTTACAAGGCATTACTTAGACAAGTTGCAGAAATAAATATGGAGCATTTCCTCTGTCACAGTGTTCCATCATTGGCCATCTACTAGCACTCCCTACCATAAATTCCAAGCAGATTGAGACAGTTTGAAATTTGGATCCAGATCTACAAAGCCTTGGTTTAATGTAACTATTGAGGGCACTATTGAGAGCCATGCCTTAGTCCATGGGTGCTTGGCAGGGGATTCCTTTCCATAATTTGCCAACAATCCTCAACCTATTTACACTTGAGCAGCTCCCTCGTTTTCATTTGGAATCCTTCAGAATCAGTTATTAAGGCTATGGTAGGCACTTTGCGCCTATGAGCTCAATGGTTCTAAGAACAAATTTATGTGAAGCCTTATCCAACTGTTACTGCTGCTCTGTCATAAGTAAATAATTACCTTTATGAAGAATTACGAGATGATATGTTTAGTAAAAAAAACAATTAGATTAGTCACTGTTTTTTTAATGTAAGACAGTAAAAACAAATGAGGACATCATCAATCTTGTTTCCAACTATAACTCATGAGTAATTTAATCCTATTTAAGATTTTATTCCTATCTAAATAACAAAAGCAAATTCATTAATGCCATGTTTCTGCACACTTTTTTTTTTCAATCAAGAAATTCAGTGACAAATTTGAGGTTTGTCTCCCGGCTTTATTATTGTGGAAAACAATTTATAGTGTATAGTTTATGAGATAATTATTGTTGCTGTTAAGACTGAATCCAGCCCCTGCAGGAGTTGTGCTACAATGAGCATGCTAGGATTTTATCACTGCTATAGTTTGACATTTGGAACATTTGTTAGTTAATGTCAGATTGTGATGAAGATAAAATAATAATAAATGACAGCGATAACGTCAAGCCTTCGGTGTGGATGATTAAAAAAAATAAAGGGGGTTGAAATGCGCTTAACAGCTGGAATAATATCTAGGTTGGGTGACTGCATGCAAAAAATGGAAATAAAACTGGAAAACTGCTATTCATTCGCGCAACACATGGTACATAAAACAAGTCAGAGCACAGCTGGATGGGCACGTATATAAATATGAGTGAAATAAACAAGGAACTTGTTTCTGTGGCTGAACAGAAAAGAGCCAATTCTGTGTAAAACTAATGTGCATAATTTGATTATTTGTATCAAATTGAAAAATAGCTAATAGGTGAATCAAAAACAATTCAGAAAATGTATGAACCAAAGACAATTAGATTTTTCTGATTCCTGTACTAATATTTATAATATTGCCATAATACTCATACACACAAAACCAGCCTACCGATCCTGTAAAATGACATTTAGTGTCACAAGAGCAGCCCTGCTGAGCCAAACCAAAGGTCTATCTGGTCCGACATGTTGTTATCACAGTAGACAACCAGATGCCTTTGGAAGCCCACAAGCAGTGCATGAGCACAACAACCCTCTTCCACTTAGGATTTCCAGCAAGTGGTATTCAGAGGGCTACTGCCTCTGATACTGGTGGTAATATAACCATCATGGTAATGTAGCCACTGATATCGTTATCCTCCATGAAGCACATAAGTAATGTCATGGTGGATGAGTAATGTCATCTAAATGTTTGTAGGCATAAATCAAGGTGCTCATTATTACCTACTAGCTAAAGGCCTCCTTATGCTTGATGGGAGTGGAAGAGAGGAGTCATCAATGAGAGTTCTTACATCAATTCCACCACTATTTATCATCACTGCTTCTCCACTCCTCTCTCATCTATCATTGAGGTGATGGGGCCATAGCTCAGTGGCAGAGCACATGCTTTGCATGCAAACAGTCCCTGGTTCAATTCCCAGGCAGGGTTGGCAACTACTCTCTGCCTGAAACCATGGGAAGTCGCTGCCAGTCAGTGTAGACAATACTGAGCTAGGTGGAGTCTGACTCTGTTTAAGGCAGTGTCCTGTGTTTGGTATGCACATGGGCCCAACCAGTTCCAGTTTTCCAAAACTTGGCCTGCCTCTTGTTTTCCCAAACCTAGATGGCACTGTGTGAAAGAAGGCTAGAAATGCTTTTAAATAAGATAAACAAACAGAATGCCAATGTGTTTGCCTCCTTTCTAGCTAACATTCAGAAAGAGTGATAAAGAGGTTAGAGTGAACACGGAAGTGTATGTGTGCCTATGTGTGTGTACCATTTTTACAAGTGTACAGCCCACGGCACACTAACTGTTCTTCACAGGGACATAGAGGAAATGAACAGTGCATTCCAGCAACAGATTGCTATTATATTTGAAGCAGGGACTGCACTAGTGCTAAAATAGGTGCTGTCAAAGAAGCTCCTGCTAATACCATTGCCTCCGCAAAGACTGCACACCACAAATTGCTGCACACCACCCCAATATCCAAGTGTGAGATTGCAGGCGTTTCAGGCACTAGAGTTTGGTTTCTTTCCAAATGAGGGACAGAAGAGACTGCAGTGTCTTTATGATATATGGCTTATTTACACATATATACAACCTGAGCCTACAATGGAGGGGTTGAAAGCATTAACACCCCAAGAGGCTCTTGCTTCTCCCATAGCCACAGCCTTGGATCCCAGCAAAAATCAAGCACTGTTCTGTCTGTCAGCTGCCCAGCCTGCAGCCTTGCTTCTAGCTTGCACACTCCTCAACCCTCAACTCTGCCTTTGTCTTTCTAACTACCAGCAAGATAACGGAGTGGGCCCATGCCCAACCATATGCTATCTGGCACACTTCCTTTGTTACCTTAATGGCCCATACTTAGAGGGCCATTACCTCACCAGGAAGCTCTCCTGGCTATTCCAGAAATTGAATCCGTGCTAGATCCAGGAATTGGAAGAGGGCTTAGGTATACAGCTACCTCAAAATCATAACAGTATGTCATTTAACTTCATCCTCCATCCTGCCCCTTAATAATACATTTTCATTCCTGTAGCTAACTTGTGGCCCTCCAAATGTTGTTGTGACTGCAACTCCCATCAGCCCAATCCAGAATGACCTATGGTTAGGGGTGATGGTAGCTGAAGTTCAACAACATTTAAAGGATCACAGATTAGAATCTCTAGTTTTAGCCCCGCTGGGACATAATATGAGGAGTTCACACACAAGAAAAAAGATCTCTGAGTTTGGGGAATAGATCTCTTTCTCTCTTGTGAGACTGTATACTGATTAGATGCTGGGAAATCTGGTGGACGACAAGAAGTACCCCCTGAATTTATGGCTCCTAGCGCCATCACCTCCTCCCATCCCACTTCATTGTTGAATGTGGGTCCCATTGCTTTCCTACTTCAGGTTGGGTAGAGGTAGTGGCACTGGAATTCTCTCAAAAGTAACTGTGAAATACCTTCCATATAGTATCTGATGTCTGCAGGAAATAGTACACTTTCTTACAGAGAGATGCAGCTAAATCCCATGTGTGTTTATTTTGAAACAAGTAGCACTGAGCCCATACTATTAAGCAGTGCTTTTTTTCCCCTTAAAAAAAATGTTTAGGGGTACTCTCATTTTCCTAATCATATTGAAATACTGCCCCTCAATGAGGGCAAATTTAGATTCACAAAATGTTTAGGTGTAGGTGTACCACTGTGTCCCCCCAGAAAAAAAGCACTGCTATTAAGTGAGTATGCATTGGACTGCAAGCTAGCTCAGGAATGCATTGCTATATTTTAATAAGAAATTTACCTTGTCTGTTCTCTACATTTTAAAAAAAATAAATAAATTACAACAGTCTCCTCCACCCCACCCTTTCCCCCATTTTTAAAAATCTCTTTTTCAGTTGATTTGCAAACACTGTCTCTTTTATATGGAATTCTTAGAAGGGTTTTTCTTTCCCTTTTATATATGTCAGATGTTTTCTGTTACACTTGTAACCTACCATAATGTTTATTTATGACTGTATTGTATGATTGCAATAAACAATTTCAACTGTCTGTTTCTCCTGATTAAAAACTATATCATTAAATAAATAAAAATGATAATAATGAACTGGGCTGTTCCCTCCACATAATGTATGGCTTTCATATTTCTGATACTTTGGAAGATATATGAAATGCAGATGAGCAGGAGAAGGCTAGTAAATCAAGGCAAGTTGGAAAGGATTCCAATCGGCTTTCGAGCAAGGGGTCATCTTTGCTACGCTGTAATCTGTGGTGGGTGCTGTAGAATTTCACTTGGGCTCTACCTGTGCTGGTCCAGATAAGGTGATGACTGAGCTTAAGAAACACTACAAAACAAAGGTAAAACTGTGAGAGATTAACAGCCTCAGGCTACGCTGAAGAAATATGCTGAAACGAAGCAAGAGAAAGTGCCAGTGTAATGCACAAACTGCATCTCCACATGTGATAACTCAAAATCTCCAAATTTGGGTTTACAGTGGTACCTCAGGTTACATACGCTTCAGGTTACATATGCTTCAGGTTACAGACTCCGCTAACCCAGAAATAGTGCTTCAGGTTAAGAACTTTGCTTCAGGATAAGAACAAAAATCGTGTTCCAGCGATGCGGCGGCAGCAGGAGGCCCATTAGCTAAAGTGGTGCTTCAGGTTAAGAATAGTTTCAGGTTAAGAACGGACCTCCGGAACAAATTAAGTACTTAACCTGAGGTACAACTGTATTTGACTTGTTTGGTTATTGGTTACCAAACAAGCTGAGGGGAAAGGTGCAAAAAATTGAGGGTTGGGGGCAGGATTATAGACTTCCTAACCGAACAGTAGAATTAAGATTGATGCTGTTTAAATAATTTCATTTTAAATACAGACTCCTCCCCACTTGCATGCAATCAGCACATGTGCGCCTGCTGACACACGCATCATTTTCAGCACCAGAAGCAGATGGGGTGAGGTGGAACGGGGGCGGAATGGGGCGAGGCAGAACAAGGGACTCCCAACTCACTTGTGTTCCGGTGACGCACATGGTTCCCCCCCCCATGTAAGTGGGGGTTCCCCTGTACTATTCAGGATTTATGTTGTTGTATAACTGATAAATTTTATTTATCTTTTTATGAATAAAATGACACATTGACACTTTCCCCTCTTGGGATACATTTCACTATAATATATGTTTCTAAGAGATTACAATACAGCAGATCGTTGTTTATCCCACAATGTCTAAATTAGAGAAGAACGTTGTTGTGGTTTCTTACCTTTCTTCGGGGACTTCTCCTATCATCCAGTAGTACTGGTAGAACAAAACAGCTATAACGGTGCTCACTTTGTCCAGTGGGATTCCTTAAATGGATAAAAAGTTGTCTAAAGGGATAAGACAGACATACTATACAAAGAGTGCTCAGTGAATTAAATAATAAAAATTTCACAGTTGCATGAGACATGGTGAAAGCGCAGCGTCCAACCTACTCCATCTCTTGACGTGACCAACTCCTCCATTTCCTTCTGTTAACAAAAGTTAACAAAACAACCTTCAGTTGGATACCTGAGATTATAAAGCTTCCTACTTCCAGACCTCAGCTGAATGATGCCTTGTTACTGCTCCCCAAATGGATGAGGATGATGGTAAGGACAGAGCAAGAAGCAAGACAAATAGTTTGACACAGGATTTACGTTTTTATCAATGCTACACTAGACTGGCAGCACATTTGGGCCTTGAGGTCCCTTTTAGCGCTACATTTGAGTCTCGCTAGGGTCAACAGGTCAAGTATGGTAGATACTTGCCCTGTTGCCCAGCACATGTGAACTGGCCCATAACCTAGAATGACATGTGAGGAAGAGAATTCTTAATGGCTATCCAGGGCTGCACTGAGGTGTTTGCAAGTGTGTGGTGGGGTGATGCTCTCGTTCATCCCTCCAGATCTTAATGGACTACCTCCATCATTCCTGACCATGGACAATGCTGGCTAATGCTGATGCGAGTTCAATTCCAACAGCATCTGAAGAAAGCTTCCTTGACTATCCCTGCTCTAGCTTCTGAAGAGGTCATGACCAGGGATGTAAGAAGGCATTATTTTTCATTCGAACTTGTATTTGTAGCACACAGCACTATTTTCATTCTGCTACAGTTCATCTTCCACCAAAAGCTACGTTATTTGTCTTGCTGATCCCTGGGGTGAGATTATGTAATGTGTTACATGTTGTGTACAGACTGAAAGCAACAGTAGCAGTGAATACCAATCATATTCTCTGTATTGATTTCCATTTTGGATATGGGACAAACAAAAAAACACCAGCAATTTTTGCTCCCATTTCTGATTTTGTTGGAATCCTCCCACATCCAGGGAGAGGCCCGGAGAGTGAACTAAGCATTTGGGATTTCGGGAACACCAGCTGTGGGAAAAAGAGTTACAGCAGAGGGTTCAAGGGGGGAGGTGGTGTGGGCTTGGGAAAGGTTGAGCATGCCTCCTCCCATTTCTCCTTTGCAAATCATCCCACACTCCCTACTTTAGATCTGCTTGACAACAAACAGGTTTCCCATATACCTCTTTGCCAAACATTTAGTTCAGCCATCACACATTTTGAAATCAATCCAACACATTCTTCCCCCAGCCCACTGCCCAATAACTCAATCCCTGGATAAGGCCAAAATTCAGTGTAAGTGCTTATTTTTAAAATAACAAGCTTTAAAAAAATGGTGTGTGTGTATTTTTTTTAAAAAAGATTTTAAAAAATGGATGAATACCACACAAACAGGAAGCCTTTTGATTATGCACGCTGGTACAAAATTAGTAAAAGAGTTTGAAATCATCTTAGGCTTATGGAATTCTATTGTTTTCAAAGAATAATTCCGTCTATTTTAACTTTTTCATGTATAATTCCATTGGCAACAGTTCTTCCTTTGATTGTCAACTGCCTTAATTGAAAGGCGTGGTGCAGTGTCTGTTTTGGCAGTTACGCTTATATCTTT